ATGGCCAGCTGGAGGCCGTCTGATGGGGGAGGGGGGCAGCGGTCGGGGAGGGGAGCAGACGAGCTCAGTGTCACAGGGTCCGTGAGGAAGGTGCCCTCGCGTGGCTGTGGGGCGAGCGCTCCGGGGAAGCACCCTGAGTCGCTTTACCGCAGGCCCTTTTAGATCCTGCTGCAGCCTTGACCAGAGAACTTTCCAGGCTTTTCCCAGACTCCACAGCAGCAAGGCTAGTTTGTCACGTCCACTGTTTACCCCACGCCCAGAGGCACTTGAGCAAAGCATCCTTCGTGCTTTGTGCTTCCTGCCTGCGTGAGCTGCAAGCGGAGGTTTCACAAGCCCGAGGGTGCTGGCTGGGCTCCGGAGCCCCACACAAGCGCCTCCTTACCAGCTGCCCTCCCTCCCCCTGCCGGCGGCTGGGATCCCCAAGGCCAGCGGGGCCAGGGTCTCTTCCACATTTGTAAGCACCACCGTTTTTATTCAGGGAAAATCGTTTTTAAAACTAAGCTGGTGGTGTTTCTTTAAGCAGACACAAGCAACGGCAAAGTGGATAGTTTAGGCTGGTATTAAACAGGATTGTCAGGATTGTTGGAAGGTGAGAGTTGTCATTTGTGGTTTAAAAAAAAATTTTTTTTTTTAACGTTTATTTATTTTTGAGACAGAGACAGAGCATGAACAGGGGAGGGGCAGAGAGAGAGGGAGACACAGAATCTGAAGCAGGCTCCAGGCTCTGAGCTGTCAGCACAGAGCCCGACGCGGGGCTCGAACTCACGGACGGTGAGATATGACCTGAGCCGAAGTCGGACGCTGAACCGACCAAGCCACCCAGGCGCCCCATTTGTGGTTTTTTAAATTTATTTTGAGAGGGTGTGCACGTGAGTGGGGGGCGGGGCAGAGGGAGAGAGAATCCCAAGCCGACTCCAGGCTGCCGGCGCAGAGCCCCCTGTGGGGCTTGGTCTCATGAACCCTGAGGTCGCGACCTGAGCCGAAGCCAAGAGCCACGTGCTCCCCCATCATTTGTCTCAGACGATAGTTTTAGATGCTTCCTCTGCTGCTCTTTCCTCCCCTGGTAAAAATCTGAGCCTCCCCTTTCAAGGGATGAAAACCAGGTGGCCGATAAAAGGAATTTGGGGGACAAGTGGTTTTTTTCTCTGCTTTATTGAGATTTCACTGGCCCAGAACGACGTGTGGGTTTAAGGTAGACCAGACGATTGACAGCCCCCCGTCACCCCCGCAGAATTAGTTTCTTTTTTGTGGTGAGAACACTGAAGATCTCCCTCAGCAGCTGTGAAGTGTGTATTCCGGGGACCCGCGGTGCGGGTGGAGATGGGAGTCTCCTGAAAGCTCGACAGAAGCAGGGTCGGTCTAGCCTCCGGCTTGGCACTGGAGACCGTTGTCAGTGCAACTCACCGCGTTAGCGCTGAAGGAAAACGAAGTCTCCTACGCATTCATGGTGAAAACAGCATGCTGGGATTCATAGGTTTTCTTAACTTGCCAAAAGGCGTCTGGCAGAAACCCACTGCAGGTTTCCTCAGCGGTAAAGGTCAGAGGTCTCACTGGTACACACGCGCAAGGGCGCTGGCTGCCCCCGCTTCTGGCCCCCGAGGAGGGGGGAGCGGGGAAGCTGGGAGCACTGGCTGGAGGCATGGGCACAGCCCAAGCTCGCTTCTGAGTGAGGCCTCGCGCAGGCGTGCTGCCGGCCAGTGGCGGGGCTGGCGCCCCTGACGCTTGTGTTCTGTGTCTCTCTGTAGCTTACTGGAGGTTCTGGCTCTGCGTCAGCGTGGTCTATGAGCTGTTCCTCATCTTCATACTCTTCCAGGTGAGCGGGTTTTCTTGGATAATCTGGGAATGTGGGCGGTGCCGCGGCCCCGGTAAGCGAAAGGTGTCCGAGAAGGCTTTGCCCACCAGCCCCTCGGGAGCTTTGGCAGGAAGCGAGGCTGTGAGGGGGGCCCTCCAGAAGGGTCCGCTTTGGGAAGGCTGCGGGCACCGCGTCTCAGCAGGGTCTCTGCCCTGAGCCGCGTGTGGGCCCTGCCCAGACGGCCCCTGCCCAGACAGCCCCCACTGGCGAGCGGGGACGGGGCCCAGTGGGACGGTCTGCTCGGGTGGGACGCCTGCCTGTCCCCCGAGCAGCAGGGTCCCACCCCTGGGGAGGGCAGCACCCCCACTAGCTGGTCCTGGGGTTTAGTCCTCGGGGCTTCTCCCTCCGAGTGCACCTTGTGCAGCAGGATGGTCCGGAGGGAGGCCAGAACGTTCTCCGTAGTAAACCGTGGCTCCCTACTTGCTGGCACTGGTGTCTCTTTACTAAAGCTTTTCCTTCTGCTCAACCCCACGTGCACCTAGACGGTGACCTTCAGTTTACAAAGTACTGTCTTATTCACGAGCTCACAGCTCCCGTCAGTTCTGTCTCTCGTGGTTTATCGCCACGTGGTGAGATTCACTCTTAGCGTGGTGTATGGTTCTGAGTACTGACACCTGTATGTGTAAACCCATGTCTAGGACACAACAGTGGCTCGTGTCCCCCAGAGCGCCAACCTGCTCTCCCTCCACCACCAAGTCCTGCCCTGTGAGAACCCCCTGGGGGCGCGCTCGCTTGTGCCTCCTGGGCCCTTGGAGGGCGTCGGGGTCATTGGGGTCGTGGGGGTCGTGGGCCATCTCCTGCTGGCGGCCTTGACCTCGAGCGGGAGCCGTTTCCTGAGTGGGGCTGCTGGTGACAGGCCCGTGTGCACCCGAGCACGTGTTAGGTCTGCTTGCACTGCTTCCCGGCATGACTGGCCAGTGGCTCCCTCCAGGAGAGAGCTCCTGCCACCAGACCCTGGGCGGCACCCGCGCTTGTCGGAACCCTTACCGTGGCCGCGTCTCCTGGCCTTGTTTGCGTTTCTGGGTCAGCCAAGTGTCCCGTGGTGCGGTGCTCGCACCGCGGGGCCGTCCTGCTCGGGGTCTGCAGCCTGCACCTGGCACAGCTGTGCCCGAGCGTCTGGGTTTGTGCTCTCTGGATACAGCAGTGCCCAGCCTCCGATCCTGTGGCTGATGTCACGGTCTGAGGGTCACTTCCACAGACCCCAAGCTGGGGACAGGTCGAGTTGCAGGACAAGGCAGTGCGTCTGTCTGGCACAGATGTGATGCGGGTCTGAGGCCAGAAGACGTCTGTCACCCGACCTCATCCTCTGCCCTGCTTCGTCCCTTGGCTGGTACTTGGGGCAGGAGTGAGGGGATGGTGTCCTGACCGCAGGCCTCCCGGGGCCACTCCCTGTGGGCCAGTGGCCAGAGGGGGCCTGAGGGAGGGGTGAGGCTGTGTCTGCCGCAGGCAGCCTTCCATCTGTCGACCCCAACCCCAAAAGTCTCCTTAGCGATAAGGCCAGAAAGGGCGGTTTGCTGCTGTTGGTATCCGTGTCTGGGAAGGCTGACCTGATGTCGTGTTTCTTCTGGGAGGGCCTGTGGAGAGGGGCAGTAGCAAGACCCGTGACCTGTGACCCCGCCTGTGTCCCCACCCACACAGCCTCCACGTGGGGAGCGTGGCGCATCTCCTTGGACTCGGGGCCTCCCCACCCCCACCACGTCTGCCTGTCCCTGCACTGCAGGGTGTTTGTCCCCACTCGGCAGAGGCGTCATCCACACACCCCAGGCCACACGCACGCTTTCGGGACTTTAGCCGAGCTCTCCCATCGCCACCAGCAGCATGTGGCCTCACTGACCAGGGCGCTGGCCTTGCAGACTGTCCAGGACGGCCGCCAGTTTCTGAAGTATGTGGACCCCAAGCTGGGAGTCCCACTGCCGGAGAGGGACTACGGGGGAAACTGCCTCATCTACGACGCAGACAACGAGAGTGACCCCTTCCACAACGTCTGGGTACAGGCGGGCCCTAGGAGCTCCGTGCTCGGGGTGGGGCCAGGAGTCACGTGTTTAATCAGCTCCCCAGGTGCTGACCTGTCCTGCATGTTTCTGGAACCCCGGTCGTTCTGCAGATCAGACAGGGTGGGGTTGGCGTTGGCCTTGCCAGGCGCTGACCTCCCTCCTGCCTGACCCAGGGCTCCCTTCAGCTTAGCCCACTTGGCGAAGGGTCCGTGCAGCCCCCTTGTGGGGCAGGTCCCTGCGTCTCAGCCTGGAGACCTGCTCTCCTCTGTGGTCAGGGCGTGCTGTCCGCCTGTGTGTGGGATCCCAGCTTTGTCCCTGGGATCCAGTCAGCACAGCTCAGAGAGGCAGGAACCGGGCCCAGGTGCCCATGGAGAAGGAGGGACCAGCGGCTGTGGGCCGTGCACGAGGCCAGTGTCCTGTCCCCATAGGACAAGCTGGACGGCTTTGTGCCTGCGCACTTTCTTGGCTGGTACCTGAAGGTAAGGTGACCTCGTCGTCAGAAGGACACCCTGGTTTTCAGGTCTGCCTTGTGCTCTGAAGCCACTTCCCAGCCACAGGCTGACGTTCAGAGTGGTTGACTGTGGTGGGCGAGGGTCTGGGGGCCATGGCTCAGGCCAGGCAGCTGTCCAGAGAGTTGGCACAACTGCTTGGGCACCCTGGGTCCTGCCCCGACCTGCACTTGTCCTTGGTGTCGTGGCCTCCAACCAGTGCCTCGCCCCGCTCCTGAGGGGGTCAGGGGTGTCGCCCTGGAGCGGCTGACGCTCTGCCGCGGCCTGCAGACCCTGATGATTCGTGACTGGTGGATGTGCACAATCGTGAGTGTGATGTTCGAGTTCCTCGAGTACAGCCTAGAGCACCAGCTGCCCAACTTCAGCGAGTGCTGGTGGGATCATGTAAGTGCCAGCAGCTGCCCTGGGGGGTCGAGGGCAGGATGGGACTGGGGACCACAGGCGCCCACCACCTCCCTGGCTCCCGCCCCCAGTGGATCATGGATGTGCTCGTTTGCAATGGGCTGGGCATCTACTGCGGCATGAAGACTCTTGAGTGGCTGTCTCTGAAGACGTACAAGTGGCAGGGCCTCTGGAACATTCCGACCTACAAGTACGGCTCTCTAGCTGCCCTGGTCCGTGGGGGGAGGGATGTCAGCCCGACTCCAGCCTGTCTAATCAGGTCCTCCTCATCCCCTGCCAGCATTTTTCAGAGGCTCTCCAGGAGCTGCCCCCATTAGGTGACCCGGGAGGGCGGGGGAGTGGGGTCTCCCGCCCATCCACGGGCCCCCGGCATGGCTGCCAGGTGGAGCAGAGGGGCCCCGGGCTGACGGGCACCTGTGCTCCCAGGGGCAAGATGAAGAGAATCGCCTTCCAGTTCACGCCCTACAGCTGGGTCCGCTTCGAGTGGAAGCCCGCCTCCAGCCTGCGCCGCTGGCTGGCCGTGTGCGGCATCATCCTGGTGGTAAGGCTGGCCAGTCTCGTGTGCGCGCCTGCTGGGCAGCCCGGCTCGCCACCCACCCTCCTCTGTCCCCCAGTTTCTGTTGGCAGAGCTGAACACGTTCTACCTGAAGTTCGTGCTGTGGATGCCCCCCGAGCACTACCTGGTCCTCCTGCGGCTGGTCTTCTTTGTGAACGTGGGCGGCGTGGCCATGCGGGAGATCTACGACTTCATGGATGACCCGTGAGACCCGGGGGGCGGGCCCGGGCACACTTGGCGTCGCTGCCCCTGGGGCACAGCCACAGTGCCCTCAGCCGACTGCCTTCCCCCGCAGGAAGCTCCACAAGAAGCTGGGCCAGCAGGCCTGGCTGGTGGCGGCCATCACAGTCACAGAGCTGCTCATCGTGGTGAAGTACGACCCACATACGCTCACGCTGTCGCTGCCCTTCTACATCTCCCAGTGCTGGACGCTCGGCTCTGTGCTCGTGCTCACCTGGACCATCTGGCGCTTCTTCTTGCGGTGAGTGCCGTGCTCCCGGTGGCCTCGACACCAGCTCGGGGGCCGTGTTCGGCTGGTGTCTGGGTCCCACGGCCCCTGCCTGGAGCTGGGTGGGGGCGTCCCTGTGAGGGGCGGTTTCGCCCTGTGAGGGGACTGCCAGGGGCCGGCCGGTGGTGACTTGGCCCCCACTGTCCCCAGGGACATCACCCTGAGGTACAAGGAGACTCGACGGCAGAAGCAGCAGAGCCGGGGTGACCAGGGCAGAGCCGGGGGCGACATGGATGGACACCTGCCTGGGCCGGAAGACCCCCCAGGGCCTGTGGAGCCTGAGAGGGAGGGGGTGCCAGCCCCAAACTGATGCACCTCACGACTGCCCAGAGCCCAGGCCTGCTGGAACCTTCTGACAGGCCTCAGCCCTTGTGGTTTTATTTTCCCTTCCTCCCATGCACATAGCTGGGCTCTGTGGGATGCAGGTGGCCGCTGACCCAGAGAGGTGTGTGTGTGTGTGTATGTGTGTGTGTGTGTGCGTGCGTGCGTGCACATGTGCTCCTGGGGCTCCTCTCAGCCTGACCGTTGTGGCTGGGCTTGCTCCGGGCAGCTGGTCCCCTCCCCTTTCTGCACAGTCAGCCCGCCGGCCTCTGGGCCACAGCGAGCCCTCAGCACCCAGACGGACGGCTCAGGCCCAGCAGAGGCATCACGGTGCCTTCCTCTGCTCCCTGGGCCCCCAGCCACTCTGAAGCCCTGACTGCACCTCACTGGACCCCCATTAGCCCCTCGACGGCACATGTGAAGGACGACCATCCAGTGATACCCTGAGACAGCTGAGAAGGGGCAGGTCTAAGCAGGCAGCCCTGAGCCACTTCCTGGGGAGGCTTCATCTGACCCAGCAAACCTGGGGGTGTGAACGGGGCCGGAGGTCACCGGATTGGCTCCTTGAGGAACGTGGAGTCAGAAACTCAAAGGCTCTGGGCCTGAGGTTGGGAGGAGGGGCAGAGGGTCTTCGAGAGCTAACAGAACAAGTAAAGCAGGTCCTTACCAGCTCCCGGCCCTGTGGGCCCTGTGCATCGTGTGCCCAGTGCTGGTGCTGCCCAGAGGGCTGGGGGGACAGGGGCAGGTGTGCAGATGGGCTGCCCCGGAGCTGCTGCCGGTGGGGGTGATGGGCCACTGCACGAACCCAGCGGGGGAGCCCTAACAGCTGCGACACTGACACCGTGCCTGGTGGAGACCCCACAAGAAGGACAAGCACTCCTCCTGCCAAAAAAAGTGCTTTAATAAAAGTGTCTGAAACTTTCCCACAGAAGTCCATCGATTTGAACCCTTCTCTTCATTCTCAGCCAGGAGGTCCGGAGGGGGAGGGGCAGGAGGCCTCTCAGGAGATAATCCGCAGGCCTGGCTTGCGTTCTCCCAGGGCCTGAAGGAGGTCCTCAGTCTGCTGCGTCCAGTAGATGTCGTACAGGCTGCGTGCGCAGGGAGGAGGCTGGGTCATGGCCTCGCGGGCCATCCCCCAGCTCCCGCCCCCCCTCCAGCTCCCCCCGACCACGCCCCACTCACACCAGCTGTTCCAGCGCACAGTCAGGCCGCTCCAGGCTCTCCATCAGCCGAAGGATGCCCCGGTCGTCCATGCAGTTGTTGCTGAGGTCCAGCTCCCGCAGGCTGCGGTTGACCACCAGGAGTGAGGCCAGGCTGTTGCAGCCGCCGTTGGCCACGTCGCAGTCCCCCAGCCTGGGCAGACAGCAGGGCACAGGTCAGGACAAGAGGATCCGCCACAGAACAGGGTGCTGGCGGGGCTGTCCACGCACCGCGATGTTCATGGAGCCCTGAGGCACGTGTGCATGCACACCGCACGCCGAGACCTCAGGGTCGTAGCCGTTCCCCAAACCTCGAACTCGGGAGCACGTCTGTCTCTGACCCAGTGGCCGGCCCCAGGCAGACACCCGACCGGAGAGGGAAGGAAGGTGCACACAGCTGCCCTCCAGGCCGAGCGGTCAGACGGACCTGAGGCTGGCACACCCTGGCCACAGCCTCCCCGGGGCCAACTCGGGTCACCAGAGGGCCTCCTACAGCCGCTTGCTTGCTCACCGCCAGGTGCTAGAGCCTGGCTGGGCTGCCAAGGAGGCACCCAGAGGCCAAAGGTGGGAGGGAGGAGGGTGGCCGGAGACACAAAGTACACAGAGGCTTCCAGCCTCCAGAGCAAGGACACCTAGGTGGGGGGTGGAGCTGAGGCCCCAGAAGCTCCAGGCCCCCTGCCTGGTGTGACAGCTGAGGTTGACCTGAGTCTACGTGGACCCAAGTCACGCCCCCTGCCCCGCCTGCCCCCAGAGCACCCCAAGGAGCTGGCAGCAGACCAGGCTCTCTGGATAGAAAAGCAGGGGACCCTGTCGGGCTCAGCCTGCAGGGCCAGCTGTCCAGGGCTTCTTCAGCCACACCCTTCACCTGTGTCCCGCCCAGCATGGCCAGGCATCCCCAGAAGCCACAGTGAGAAGCAGAGATCCAGAGGCCGCCAACAAAGCCAAAACCTGCGACAGCAGAAGCAAACGGCTGACGGGCCAAGAGAGAACAGAAACAAGAACGGGGTGTCGGGCTACAGGGCGGTCGGTGAGACCCAGCAGTGGGTTCCTGAGAGCTCCAGGAAGCAAGAAACAAGATTGGGAAAATCCTCAAAGGCTCGACACTGGAGCACAAACAGGCGTCCAGCACAACAAAGGAACCAGGACCCCGGAACACAGCCGTGCAGGGCAGGGGCCAGGGGTCCCAGCGCACAAAGCAGGTGCTGCCAGGCCTTCGGGAGCCCGCGGGTTCCGGGAGTTGCCAGACGTGGCCGTTGGGAGTAGGGAGGGGCCCCAGGGGGACGCGCGGGACCCCGGACTTGGACCCATCAGACTGAGATGTGCCCGGCACGCCCGTGCTCGCTCACCAGAGCACCCGCAGCGTGGCGCTAGGCTGGCTCAGGCCCTGGCAGAGCTCCTGGACGCCGGAGTCGCCCAGCTTGTTGTCACTCATCTGCAGCTCCACGAGGTGCTTGTTGTGGGTCAGCATCGCGCTGACGTGGGGGCAGCACGCGGCCGTGAGGCCACAGGACTTCACCCTGGGAGAGAAACAGCACTAGGGCCTGGCCACGCCCACACCTCCGGGGTGCTGAGGCCCCGGAGGCCCCGCCCTCTAAGGACACGCGGCACCCCCTCCCGCAAGCCTCCCCTGCCCGCGGGCGCAGAAGCTGACCTGGGGCCTGGGCCCCGGGGCACCAGCACCACTGTCATCCCCGAGGTGTCCCCAGGCGCCACGCTCCTCACAGGCCCACCGTCCCCCGGCTGCCCTCGGGCTGCGCTCACCACAGGGACTGCAGCTGGCATCCAGGCTCCAGCAGGCTCTCACACAGCAGCCGGGCACCCTCGTCCCCCAGCGCATTGCCTGCCAGGCTCAGCTCCTTCAGGCTCTCCTTGGCCCTGAGCACTTGGCACAGGTCTCTGCAGCCCGTGGTGGTGATGTCACAGTCCCAGAGCCTGCAGAGCCGGGGACGCATCACTGCAGGGCCCCCAGGGGACACACAGCCAATCTTCTCAGATACTCCCCACCCGCCCGCTGGGGCCACGGCTCTCCGAGGAAGCAGGGCGGGCGCAAACTCACCACAGGACCCTGAGCCGGGAGCTGGGGTGCAGCAGCGCGGGGCACAGTGTGGCGATGCCCTGGTCACCCAGCTTGTTGTCACCCAGGTCCAGCTCCTGCAGCGAGGCCTTGGAGGCCACGACACCGCACAGGTCCTTACAGCTGGCCGGCGTGAGGCCACAGTTCTCCAGTCTGGGGGCACAGGGGGGCCGGCAGAGCTGGGAAGCCCCCGTGGTCCCGTCCCCCCGCCCCCCACCCCCGCCAGACCCCACACTTACTTGAGCGTCTCCAGCTGGCAGGCAGAGTCCACCAGGCCCCGACACAGCGCCTGCACGCCAGCCTCGCCGATGTCGTTGTTGCTTACCACAAGCTCCTTGACGTGCCTCCAGGCCCTGAGCACTGCGGCCAGGGGCTCACAGCTGGCGGCCGTCAGGTTGCAGTACTCCAGCCTGGGGACAGGTGGGTGTCGGGAACCCTGGCCAAGGGAGCTCGGTCTGGGTCTCCTCTCCCACCCCAGGCTGCAGGGCGCATGAGACCAGAGGGCTGCTGGGCAGGGACAGCAGTGGCTAAGGGGCCATCTCCTTGCACGGTGGGCGCTCAGGGCCTCTGGGAAGCCGGCCGCCAACCACGAGCCCCACCCTGAGCTTGGGGGTCACTGGACCCGGGAGAAAGATGCCAGTCTCCCGATCTGGGTCTGCCTGCCTTCCTCCATCGCTGAGCCCATCAGCACACTTCTGGTGGCCAGGCCGCCCCACACGTGATGTGGGGCTACAGGCCACCTTTCAGCTTTTGGACCACAGCCCCAGCATCACACAGAAGGACCATCGGCAGGTGCCCCAGAGCTCCCCCTTCAAAGCTCCCTGCAGCCAACACGCTGAGGCAAGGGCTTGCCCAGGGCAGTCCTCAGCCAAAACCACAGTGACCCGGAAGTGTAGGGCTGGGGGCGGCCTGGGTGGTGGGCCCCACACTCACTGAAGCTTCTCCAAGTGGCACTGGGGGTCCAGGAGTCCTTTGCAGAGCAGCTGCAGGCCCGCGTCCCCCAGCGGGTTGTCGCTGAGCTGCAGCTCTCGCAGGGTAGGCAGGGAGCGCAGCGCGTCGGGCAGGACCTCGCAGCCGGTGTCCGTCAGGCAGCAGTTCCGGAGGCTGGAGCACGCCCAGCCAGCCATCAGCAGGGTCCCCGCCAGCCAGGCCATGGCCCCCAGGGAAAGCGCCCCTCTGTCCTCAGGAGCCGGGGTGAAGCAGACACAGCACCAGCACCTCCCCCTCCCCCCCCCGCCCCCCTCGCCTGGGAGAGCCCTGGGCCTGGCCTTGCAAGAGGGCCGCCGTCTCCTCTGGGGTCTCCAGGCAAAGGAATAGAGGGCAGGAGGGGATGCACCTCGGGGCCTAGAGGACACTGGGTCGCGAGCCCAGGAACAGGAGGCAGGGCCGTGGCGTGAGCAGACCCCACAGGGGGACAGGGGCCCGAGACAAGGCGGGAGAAGCCCCCACGCTCCCGGACCTGCTGCTGTCTCCTGCCCCCCTTCCCCAGGCTGACCCAGTAGGTCCACACCTGAGCTCGGGGTGGGGCAAGCACCTGGGCCGTGTGGATCATACAGGCTCACCTGAGCTTCTGGATCCTGCAACTGGGGCTCTGCAGGCCCTGGAGCACCAGCCGCACCCCGGCATCGTGCAGCTCATTCGTGCAAAGGCTCAGCTCGGTCAGCGAGGGGTTGGCCTGGAGGGCAGAGCAGATGTCCTTGCACCGCACCTCCGTGA